CCTCCCAGATTTACCATCGGACGTCATCGCTTGCATGAACCCGGTGATGCTGAACCCTTCTCCCCACAGGATATCATTGCCTAAAAATTCAAACCCATCACCACCACAGCAGGTACCCAAAAAGTCGACTTTTTGGGTACCTCCCAGGTTTACTATACGTGATCTCTTGCATGAACCCCATGCGTTCCTCACCGAAAGGTTGACAGTTTTTGGTGCAAATCTGGGAACCTACGTCAAGAGGACATGCAAGAAAATTTTCGGAAAAGCACCCTCCCGAATAACCAAAGCCTAGAGCATTCCTAGCATCTAGTCGAAAACGTAACAAAATCTAAGTGCAGCCAAGAGTATTCCTAGGAAAAATCACGGGCATTGGCCGGGAACTAGCAGAAGGTTACTAATTTTTGGGGTAAATCTGGGAAGCTAAAAAGAAGAGGAAGCACTAGAGAATTCTTGGAAAAGCATCCAGCCGAAAACATAACAAAATTTAGACAAAGCCTAGAGCATTCCTAGGAAAATGCTAGAAAAGCCTTTGAAAGTTCCATAGGTTAGCAAAAGGTTACCAATTTTTTGGAGAAATCTGGGAACCTAAAAACAAGAGGAAGCGCTAGAAAATTCTTGGAAAAGCCTCCAGCCGAAAACATAACAAAATCTAGACAAAGCCTAGAGCATTCCTAGGAAAATGCCAGAAAAGCCTTTGAAAATCTCACAAGCCAACAGAAAACGTGACAAAATCTACGAAAAAAACAAGGGCATTGGCCGGGACCATGCCGCGACCAGCCCGGGATTCGAGCCCAGGACCATTTTAGACCGTGCTTATTTTCCCGCGCGGGTCGAGAGGGTGCCCCAAGATGTAAATCAATTGGGGATGGCAGATTCTTGGACAATCCAGGTCGCTTTCCCAGAGAAATTCAACCGGATTTCGTCACTGTAACAAGGGTCCGGAGGGGTAGGGGAGGTAAGGTCTAAGGTCTAGGTCTAAGGCTAAGGACTAGGTCTAAGGCTAAGGACTAGGTCTGAGGCTAAGGATAAGGCCTAAGGCTAAGGCTTAAGGCTAAGGCTAACATCAACAGTCACGCCCTGACCCCACGGTGTGGGGTCGGCGGATTCAGACACACACATGTACACACACATGGACATACAGCCCCTCCCTGCCCCCCCGCTTTCCTTCTTGCGCTTTTCGTCGTTTGTTGGGCTTTCTCTCAGGCTTTTTAGGTTGCTCTTGAGGCTCGTTTCCCTACCCCAGTCAAGGGCTAAGTATTCACTTTTCTACACCTACCTTTCTTTCTTGCCCTCTTAGCGCTGCTCTTTCTGTCTTTCTTTTCTTTTGTTTCTAAGGCTTTTTAGGTGACTATTCAGGTCTTTCACATGCGCGCCGCGAAGCGGCACCGTGTGTGTGCCAAACCCTGTTTCCAAGGGTTCAATTTAATTTAAAGCAGGGGGATGAGGATCCCTTGGTGTGCCTCATCTAACAAAGACCGCACCAAGTGGGTGTGATATCAGTGCCCGGCCAGCACTGACGTACTTGCCTTTCAATTGTTTAACTCGACGTTTTTCAACAATACTGTTCGACGGACTCAGCACTTCTTTTTCAGTCAAGGTCTAAATTGCAGTAATCGTAGTTAAGTAAAGTTAAAGTGCACTGGCGAACAATGTTAAACAATACTTTTCCACGGACTCTGCCACCTTTCCGTTCTCTCACCTTCCTTCTCAGCTTGGGAACTGAGTGTAACTGAAAACCAATGTCAGAGTGTGTGACAGATGGCCAAACAGGCCACTGCACTGGGGCAATCATAAGTCGGCGTGAGCAAGCTTGGCTCTACGAGTGCAAGAGAGTTTTTGAGACACTCATGGGCAGCTGGACGGAAGAGAGTGCCATCCAGGCGCTTTCGGTTGCAACTCCAGGATTGAGACTGCAAGGTGATGAAACAAAGCATACTGATTGACATTGATCCTTGATTGATTGCTTAAATGAGCGTGTTGTGCGTTGAAAATCTTGCTGAATGTCCTCGCACGTCTATTTTGTGGGGTCGGACTGTTTGGATTTGGATGTGCAACGTGCCACCGGCTGGCTGTTCATAGAGGAAATGATTTTGCCAAGTACCTGAATGCAGGTCTTGCCAAACAGATCCAAACGGCCTGTTTGGAGGTACTGGGCGCACTGTGGGATGGAACAGCTACATGACTCATGACCACTATGCCCATTGATGGGTTTGACTAGAACCAGGGTGCTTGTTGTCAATCCAAGCAGAACCAGGGTGTTGGTTCAACTCTGTTCGCGGACAAAGTATTGCTTTTGAGTCCTTTTCCCGGCCCCTTTTCTTTTTCACTCTTTCCTCTCAATGTGATCTCTCAACTGGACACCTTCCGGCTGGCTCCAGCCCACATGGACCCGTCCATGCCGCCTCTATACTCTCAGTGTGACTCGTCACGTCGTCGGTCGACTCGTTTTCTTCGGAGTCACGGCACCGACGGTTCTGAGGCACTCCTCGGTGCCGTGGATCCATCCTCCGTACCATCGCGCCTCACAGCGCTGGAGCTCCTGTGCCAGACCAGCGCTCATAGCACGCAAGTGAACTGGAAAGAATTAGCGGCTGGGTGGGTGGATGAAAGACTGCCGTTTGGCTTCTGGTGATGAAAGAGAGCTGGGAAGGTCATTTTGGACGAAATGGCAGGCCGGAGTAAAAGCGAAGCCAGGATCAAAAGTTACTGCAAGCGATTTCCGAAGGAGGATCCAGGATTCTTACGACTGAGTGGACGTCCAGCACAATTATTACTTCACATGTTTATTGCCCCCGTTAACCCTCAATCCAAGAAGGTGTGGTGGCTAGGTCCCTTCAATTGACTTTAACTTGGTTTTGGCGGTGTTTCCTGAAGTGAGTCACAAGTGAGAGCATTTCAACATCTCAAGGGCTGCTATTCTCTTGACGTTCCTTGTGCTAAGGTGTGCCTTGGTGCAAAAATGGGAGACATGACACTCCAGACAAGCTTGCCTAAGGTGGAGGTATGCCTTCGATTGCTGGAAGACCCAGATCTTCGAGTGCCACTCACCGGGCAAGTTCAACACCACCTTTGAGCTTGCGGATGAGAGTCTGAAATCTGTTGCTAGGTTGGTCCACTAGCTCAGAGCTTCCTTTTCGGCAAGTCTCACAGTGAATGTAAGAAGAAGACAAATGTTCTCGAGGGTTGTTCTGCAGTGGCAGCGAAATAAATCAATACTAGTGGTTTCGACAGCTATTCATATCGTAATCTGGTTATTCAGGATCATGATCGAGTGAATCGAGGATGTTCATTTCTGTAAAAGCTCTTCCGAGGAAGTCAGCTGCCTTGGATGCCATGAGGTTTTGTGGCTCAGATCCTGACCGTGCAGCTGGGCAGGATCTGTTCGCGCTCCTTCTTGGTTCAGCACAGGGCGAGGCAAACTTGCAAAAAACGAGTGTTGTGAGGATCTCCGAGGAACGGCCAGTTTTCGGCAACTGTTCTATACTTGGCATTAAAGAAAAAGACCTATCCGGGTATCCTTTTTTGAGGAATCTGTTTTGTGTCTTGATCAAGTTGGACGGAGCAGCACGGGAGTTTGTCGGTGTTTGCGGCAAATTGCGCAGTGGCCCAAGGTGGATTTGGAGCGCAGAACGGTGCAATTCAAAAAAAGACACAAAAAATAAACTCATGTTGAATCCTCATGACCTCATGTGTGTCAAGGTTCCGATTGGCTCAAGATGGCTCAAGATAGTTGCTTTTCAGGCTGGGGTGGTTGAACATGCGGGGCAGGGGAGGTGTGTTGACGTGCCCCTTGATCCTTCAAAGAGCAAGCCTAACTGGCAACGCCTCAATTCATTCCCGAGTCATCCCAAGTCCACTTTCTGAAGAGATATGGACCGATCGAGATGAATGCATCAGTTCAGGATACATTGAGACTCACTTGGACGATGGGCATGTGACGTGCAACCCCAGCCTAGGGCCACAGCAACCGGACCCTAGCTTTCTCTTCACCTTTTGGAGCCAGATTCTTGGGTCGATCGAGAACACGAGATCACAGAACTTGGGATAACTGGTGCTTGTGGTCCCCCACAATTAATTCGCTTGAACAATATCTTGGAATTCCATTCCTTCTTCTCAAGTTTGTGCGGAGACTTCGATCATTCGTGAGCACCCTGCAACATCCTCCCTAAGGCAGACTTGCTTGGGCAAAAGGCTCTGGAGCATTTGCATCACTGGGACCACTTCGTGCGACGTGCCGCTCTGGCGCTCCTGCGCGAGGCGGTACAGACCGAAGAAACCATTGAAGCGCTGTTGACGCTTTTGGAGGACGAGTCCGTCCGGCACTGGTGTGGACCCGTCAGGGTCCGTCCGACTGGAAGGGCCGACAACCGGCCAGAGCGAAAAGCCACGGTAGACGGTATACAGTGTAAAAGCACAAACAGATGGTGTATTTGCGGTGTTTTCGATGTGTTCTGGTGGTTCTTTGCTTGGATGTCTGCTCCGAACAAAGTAGCACAGCCCTTCCACGGAGACCATTTTTCAGTGGATGGCCTAGGCACTTTCTGGGAAGGTAGTGGCACTGGCGGCCGTCTACAAAGTCATTAAAATTTGGGGTGAAGGTGAGGCCAGAGTGGAATCATCATGGTCAGGCATTGTAATAAGTCACCGTAGTGAGATGTTGTGAGATGTAGTTTTTGTATTTCTATTGAGGTCGACGTGAGGGGGTGCCAGAATTGGTGTTGTGCTTGGCTTAGGGCTGGCAATGCACTCAGACCAAAACGCATATTGCAGATTGTGTTACAACCGTTTTTCCCGAGAGCGCCTGCGAAGGGTTCTTCGTAAAAAAACATCTGCAGAAGAACGTCTCATCTACATCCTCACTTCTTCACCTCTGCACATCTACATTCACATCCTCATATCTACATCACATCTACATCTGCTCATCTTCACATCTACAATCACATCTGCACATCTACATCTCTGCTCATCTTCACATCCTCACATCTACATCTCTGCTCATCTTCATCTTCACACATCTACATCTCTGCTCATGTTCACATCTGCACATCTACATCTCTGCTCATCTTCACATCCTCACATCTACTGTACATCTCACATCTTCACCTCTCGTTCTTCTTTACTTTCTCTCTTAAGGCCGGGGGCGGTGCCGCCGGAGCACCACGAAACGCAACCCTCTGCGGAGATCGTGCGTGTCGAGGGCGCGAAATGCAGGCGAGAGTGCGGAGATCGTGCGTGTCGAGGGCGCGAAATGCAGGCGAGAGTGCGTTTTGGCCCGGTCCGGCGCCCTCGACACGCACAATCTCTGCAGAGGGCTGCGCCGGACCGGGCCAAAACCCACTCTCGCCTGCACTTCGCGCCCTCGACACGCACGATCTCCGCAGAGGGCTGCCGGCGCCAAATCCAAAACGCACTCTCGCCTGCCTTTCGCGCCCTCGGCGGAGCAATCTGTGGAGCTGGAAGCTGAGAACTGGCGACTTTGTAGTACAACTTGAGTACGCGGAGTATCTGGGGAGCTGGAAGATGAGAACTGGCGACTTTCTAGTACAACTTTAGTACGCGGAGTATCTGGGGAGCTGGAAGATGAGAACTGGCGACTTTGTAGTACAACTTTAGTACGCAGAGCAACCTGTGGAGCTGGAACCTGAGAACTGACGACTTTGTAGTACAACTCGAGTACGCAGAGTATTTGGGGAGCTGGAAGATGAGAACTGGCGACTTTGTAGTACAACTTTAGTGCGCGGAGTATCTGGGTAGCTGGAAGCTGAGAACTGGCGACTTGGTAGTGCAACTTTAATACGCGGAGTATCTGGGGAGCTGGAAGATGAGAACTAGCGACTTTGTAGTACAACTTTAGTACGCGGAGCATCTGTGGAGCTGGAAGATGAGAACTGGGGACTTTGTACTACAACTTTAGTACGCGGAGCAATCTGTGGAGCTGGAAGCTGAGAAGTGGCGACTTTGTAGTACAACTTTAGTGCGCGGAGTATCTGGGGATCTGGAAGATGAGAACTGGCGAAGTTGTAGTACAACTTTAGTGCGCGGAGTATCTGGGGAGCTTGAAGATGAGAACTGGCGACTTTGTAAGTACAACTTTAGTACGCGGAGCAATCTGTGGAGCTGGAAGCTGAGAACTGGCGACGTTGTAGTACAACTTTAATACGCGGAGTACCTGCGGAGCTGGAAGCTGAGAACTGGCGACGTTGTAGTACAACTTTAATACGCGGAGTACCTGCGGAGCTGGAAGATGAGAACTGGCGACTTTGTAGTACAACTTTAGTACGCGGAGTATCTGGGGAGCTGGAAGATGAGAACTGGTGACTTTGCACTACAACTTTAGTACGCGGAGCAAGCTGTGGAGCTGGAAGCTGAGAACTGGCGACTTTGTAGTACAACTTTAGTACGCGGATGAGTCACCTCTCGCGGCTGCTCTGGCACCCCTGCAGCTGAGTCATGTCTCCCGACCACCCGGCTCTCTTGAGAGGTTGGCAAGTTTTGGCTACTTTGCTTACTCATAAGTGGCTGCCACAAAAGAGTCATCAAGACGTGTACTTCACCTTCATGACAAACGATGTTCGCTTGGAATACATGAGTCGCTTGTCATGATCGTGACGTCGTTTACTCTCAGGTCGCCCTTTTCGTGGAAACCACAGTGTGACATGTACGTTCTTCAGTTCTATTTGAACCTCTTCAGCGTTGTACTTGCACAACTAAGGTTGACGTTGCGCTGCCGTTGCACCGACGCATCTACGTCTACACCCCCTCACCTCTCTACATTTACATCTTCACACGCTCACATCTGCAGATCTACCTCTCCACCTCACCACACCCACACATCTGCACATCTATATCACATCTGTACATCCACACTGTCGCTCCTTCACATCTGTCCTGTCTTTCTTTCTTTCTACATATCTTTTCTCTCGTCTCTGTGCATTTACATCTTCGCACGCTCACATCCACACTGTCACTCCTTCACGTCCACCCTCTCTTTCTCTCTTTCTATACATCTTTTCGACAGTGCTGAACAATTACATGTCTCGCTCTCGGGCCAACCGTCGTCTAGTTTCATTAAGTGGTTCTGATGTGCACTCACAAAACCGATAGGAATTCACTACACTACACTCCTTTCGGGAGAACAGCCCATCCCAGATGTGAGATCACATGACGTTTATTGTGATGGAGAGATTCCTACTACCAAACGGTGGTTTATTCACTTGGAAATGCATCTCCGATATACCTAGTGCTTTCGTTTCTTCATGTTGAAAGAAACGAAAGCAGTGGAGTCATGCTACAAGAGAACTGTGGGGTTGTCGGCGCAGGGTGCGGAATCTGGTCCAGCACGTTTTCCAAGCAGCACTTGTTCTCAAGCAGCAGGTGCATGAAGCATGGGTAGGTTCCAAAAGGATGACCACGTTCTATGGTTTGTTTGAAGTACTTTGCAGTTCAGCTTGTCCCTGGTGTGGTGTAGTCATCCCACACTGGTGTGTTCCATGGCCCGGTCCCCTGGTTTTTGCTCCATTGGCCGCGAGGACCCCTCCTCCGAGGTGGTTTGCCGGGCTATAGTGGCCATCGCCGAGCTGGATCGTGGACCCAAGGTGGGGTGGGGAAGTCAGGTTTGGAGATGCTATCGCGGTTTGAGCTCCCAGTTCTGGTCACAGAATTTGGGAAGCTGCTTCTCCATCACAACTCGGTGAGCCTGAGAACAACTCCTGGAGGACGAGACTCCAGAGGCAGCCGAAGAGCATGAGACGAAGCTTTGTGGAGCCTTGGCGCCTTTGCTGGAGCATGGTGATGTGGCCTGGCAGTGATGGCCCTGGCCTGGCGGCTGGAAACTCCGGGGGGGAACTCCCCCCCAGAGCTGATAGGCCATTCTGATGGCCTTTTGCACCTTACATACACTTGTGTAAGGCCTCGGCTGCCCCCATGCACGGAACACAGGTTCCCCCACTACACAGAACTTGAGGCAGTTTGGAAACGTGGGGGAGGTTTGTGATCTGAGGTGAGTCGCAGAGGGCAACAAAAACAAAGTAAGGAGTCTAACCAATGAAATCGTTGTAATGTTTACTAGAAAACCAACCAATTGATAGATAAATAAAGAATCCTTACTTAGCTATCTCTGGAGCTACTCTGGCAATACTACAAATACCCCTCCCCCAAAAAATACATTATTCTAGGGGCGTTTATTCATCAGAGGTCAACATCACTGAAAGGCTTCTGTCGAACCAGTTAGCATGAGACAGAGAACAGCGGCCTTCAGTAGCTGTTAACGTAACGATGCCACGCTTGCAAAGTCATAATGATCATATTTATAATCACCCAAGAAATTGTACAAGAACATGTAGTCCCCATGCAGTGGAAATGTGTTCAAGATCGGCAAAAGCAAGATTGTTTGTTAAGTTCCTTTGGGGCTCGCTACGTGCTGGAATATACAAGTGTATATATATATATATATATTACATATGCGCTTGTCAGACACCCCCAGCATGTTGCTCCTTGTTTTTGTCGCAGTTGTAGATGAAATGATCACTGCTCCCGAGCCAATAGGTCAATGTGCGGCAAGAAGCAGCTCCTTGGCAGGGATGATTGGAACAAGCGCGGCCAAGCGACAAACGATCCATGCATGCCAGGTCATCAAGAAAAGTATTTTGGACGTGTGCTGTGTACCAAGAATCCTGTGGATGGGACGTAGGATCTCAACAGAACTCACCACGGAATCACCAGGAGAATTTACATGTTTCTACAGAAATCAAGAGGGATTAAAATATGGAATTGAAAGTGGCTTCAGGTAGAAAGACGTTTGAGGCCTCATTGCCTCATGCGGTATAATTTCTCAATCGGGTTGAAATGTGTTGGAGAATTTGCCTAATCCCGACTTCGCCGAAGGGTGACATCGACCTAAATCGTGCTGGCGGATGGGGGAGCAGTTGATAAGTTTGATAAGAATTCCAATTCTAATTAAACTTAATTCTAATTTGATTTTAATTCTATGTGTGTCTTGTTTCTAATAGCTTCTTGCTCCTAGTAGCGATGCCAGGAGCCCCCACTAATTAGCGTCCTTGCTCCGACCCATTTTGAATAGAGGCAATTCTTTCGGTGGCTCCACTGAGCCCTCCATTCCGACTGGCAGAGAATTCATTGGATGGCCAACTGATCTATTGCATAAGAGTGCATCAAAAGATAAGGGCTGGAACACTTGTTCCCACTGTGTGCCTTTGCACATCCATATGCCATATGGTTCCTTCTCCTTTGTTTCTTTGACAAAGCTGGAGGCTCTTGCTTTGGCACAAATGCCTGGCCCACGGAAGCTTGCGAGGAATATGTTGCTACAACGGCCTGTGTGGCCGGAGCTGACAAAGGAGGTCATTGAAGCCAAACAAAGTGCTTCAAATTCTCTCGAAACCTTTTATAATATATAAAATTAAATATATATTAAAACGATATAAATATAAATATATATATTTGATATTGAATTTACAATATATGCTTTAAATTATGATATTATTTAATATTTACTAATTGAATATAACTAATTTGAATAGTATAAATAATATATATTTAAAGGAAATTGAATATATATTTGAAGGATATAAATATAAATAATTATATAAAAAAATAGAATAATAAATAAAAAATTGCATTTGATATACGAACAACGTCATAAACCTCTATGAAAGAATTTAGGTAGGACTTAAGATTATGAATCTGTGCGAAAGGAAAATTGCAGTTGGGGAAAGCTTGGCGAAAGGTTTGGAGAAAGGCTCTGATTTTTTGATGAATGGATTTTGTTGCGAAAGGGTTGGCGAGGAGGTTTTTAGTACAAAGCATGTTATTCAAAGATTTATGATAACCAGGCGAAAGGTTCGCGAAGATGTGGCGAAAGTAGTGGTTGTAGATTCTCCTTTGCTGATACATGTTGATATTTTTCTTAGATGTAAGTAGCAGAAACTCGGCGAAAGGGCTAGCTAAAGAGGTTGTCGGGTGAAATGGGCCGGCGAAAGCAAAACATGCAGCTGCGAAAGCGTTGCGAAAGGTTGTTATAATCTTAATAAAGTTCCGGATGGTTTTTGACACCGCTTATACATATAATATATTGTAAATATATTAATAATATTTATAATAAGGATTTTATTTTGGTGTCGTAGAATTGTTCTTTAATAAATTGTTATTGATTTATTGAAGCGTTAATGATGCGTTTTAGATTTTATTTTTTAAATATTTCATGAGGATAAATATTTTATATATTTAATCTAATATTTTGAAATTATTATTTAAAGATAGATATAGTTAAATATTTAGAATTTAATTTAATATATATTTTATGCAAAATAGGAATTGGATTCTATTGAACAATACTATATTAATTTGTTTGTTGATCCGATATTTGATGTTCCGGAATTCGAACCCCTAATTAGATTTCTTTTCGACCGCTAGGATGTGCTCATTGAGCTTTTGCACCTGCCAAGTACTAAGGCCCTGGCACCAGACGGGTTGCTAGCTTTAATCTGGAAGAATTTCGCGCATCATCTTGATGATCCATTAATGCATTAGATGCAGCCAGGTTTGGCTTAGATATCCCATCCACCTTCCGGATTATTGGACATTAGGATGGATTCATCTCCTCACTAAACCCAATAAATCCCCAAGAGAATTATAGGCACTCAAACCGATTTATTTCCAACACCCGGTCAACAAGATATTTGCCGGAATCCAATGTAGGCAGATCGTTTAATAGATGTTCGACCGATTAAGATGTCTTCCGTTATATGCGTACCTGCCTCACAGAGGAACACGTGAATGTCTTCTCATAGTAGCAGAACATTGTAGAAGTGTATGTATGATGTGCAAGGAAGTCAAGATTGGTAATCAGCCTAAGTTGCTTGGAGGCCTCCAGGTTTCATTAGACATGGAAAAGGCATTTGACACGGTCAGTCGAACCTTAGTATTTCGAGCCTTGAAGTTGTACCATTTGGACTCTGATCTCTTTCAATTTGTGTATTCGTAATTCACCCCTCATAAGTATTGTCTTCCCTTCAAGCAATTGATCGGACAAATCCAGGCACATCGGGGAATCAAATAGGGGGCCAAAGATGCCCCTTTACTGTGGACACTGACCATGAGCCTAATGCTTGTTGATCTCCAAATCAAATACTCCCACACATGGCTCCACGAGCACATGGTTGTCTACGCAGACGATATCCGGTGGATAATTCGATCGACAGCCCAAGCCCTTGAAGGTTTCACTGACCTTCAAAACGTGTTGATGACCCTTCAGGCTTTCGGGTTTAATGTCAATCTTCATAAGTCAGTAGCCATGCTTCGACTCCAAGGGAAAGAGACCCCCACCTTCCTTCGACACTGGGTCAGTCGACTAGCCACTGGCCTGGTGCTGACTCTGCCAGAACGTCGTTGGCAGCTGCCGCTTGTGTCGAAAACAACGTATCTTGGTGTCATCATAGGATACAATGGGATGTTGATACCACTACCCGTAGGATCACGGCCGCCAAATGGTGCTTCCGCAATGTCCACCCAATTCGAACCAGACTCAAGTTGTACAAGCAATGTGTCCTAGCCACTGTTCAATATGGCATTCATGAAATGGGCTTGACTCAAAAGGGATTTCGCCAACTCATCAGCATAATCAACACTCATCACCGGACGATTGCACACTCACCTGTGTGTCTCACCCATGAGTCCACTACACATTTCTTTGAATGCATTCGTGAACCACCTCCATGGACAACCATCCTCACACAACGCCGGCGGATTCAAGAGGCCCTGTCGACCAGACGGGAACACCTCCGTCTTGAAGCCATGGACTGCGAGATGCCGGATGTGTGTGTGTTTGTCCCAGATCTCTGGATTGAACCCTTGGTCACCCCACCAGATCACCAATCCACCATGGGTAGTATTCAGGCAGTGGCCTGTCCGGAATGCCACCGAACGTTCTAGCAGGCAGGAACACTGAAACGACACATGAGACAAGTTCATCAAGTTCCGTGTGAACCCGACGACATTTTTCAACCTTTACGGGATGCCTGGCAAGGCCGTTCGATTTGCACACATTGTTTACATGTCTTTATTGATTTCTACAGACTTCGTGATCATATTGTTGATGGACAAAATCCTGCACCACCTCACCACTTTACCCTAGAAGGGTCGTATAGCAACCCCCGCCCCCTCATTCAATGTTGGCGCGACCCCTCTGAGGAGGTGGTGCAGGATTTTGGACCTTCAACTTGTTTTGTTTTCTCACTGTGGTGGTCCTAATGTTAACAAGGTAGAACGAGGGCAGCAAGAAAAGTGTGCGCAAAGTGGTGCAGGATTTTGTCCATTAATAGACTCGTTTCATTACTACAATCTCGTTTCATACTACAATCTCGTTTCAGTAATATTGCTCTACCAAGCTTGTTGTGTTAGTTTTTTGCGCCTACTTGCTGGCTAATGCCACTTTCTTGCTGCTCCGTTTGTTGTTTGCTATCCTTACTTGTTGTCACGTAACAAGGGATGTTGCGAGGGAAGTACACAGTGCTCGGACAGTGCTCTGATAGTGCTCAAAACAGTGCTCGGAAGTCAAAAACATGGAAAATACCAGCGATTCGGGCAGTAGCAATGCAAAACGATAGAAATTTGGAATTCTAGGCTTTTTATTGATTCATTTACCACTCCTGTGGCCATACCCACAGTATTTACAGGGTTTTGGTGCGCGGGTACTGTCTGGAGCACTGTTGGAGCATTGTCCGGGCACTGTGGAGCAGTGTGTCGCCATGTAGTCCCCGGTTGCGTTGTGTGCGCAGGAGTCAAAGCCATGGTCGTTCCAGGTCACGATGGCGCTCTACTCTGTTTGCTGTCTCCCACCCCTTGTGCCCTTCTTTGGCTCTTGTTACTGACGCTGCAACTCTTCTTCCATACATGGCACAACCCTCTGTCTCCGGCTTCACAAGTTTGTTCTTCCTGTGTCATTGGCTTCACAAGGTCTTTAAAATACTGTGTTGGTCCACCGCTGTTTGCTTGGCGCAACCCTGTGTCGGGTACTGTATTAAAAAGCCCACATGCCCTCGCTTTGATCCCGCTCAGGAGTCGATCGTACCGATTATCAACAGACCAGATCTCAAAATGCATTTACGCCACAAGTCTGTCCCAGGTCTTTTGTTGAACCAGGCTTTGATCAATGAGATTGCCACTCACTGCACTTTTTGTCACAGCGGATTGCAGCTCGCTCGATTAGAAAGCACTTCACGGAATGCCATCCGGACCTGGTTCCACCAGCAGAGCACTTTCGGGAGCATGTTCATGTTTTTTTTGCACGAGTCGAGGCGCTATAGTGCAGGTTCGGGAGCATGTTCATGGCATGGCCAACATCGGAGGCGGCCGAGGTAGATGCAATTTTTGTGACAGTGAATGCCGTGACACCAGAACACATGAATGTGGTATCCTCTTTCAGATCTCGATCATAATGGGACACACCTTTCAACCTGAACACTTCCTGTCATGCAGAAAGCCTCAACTTGTTCGTGCCGCCAAGATTCCGAAATTTGATACAGTTCCGGTTATGCTGAACAAACCTTGCCAGCCAATCGAGGCCCCTGAAATCCTTTCCATGTCCACTGTGTTTGGAAACAGTCGGTCGTAAAGCCTTGGCCGGCCATTTGTCCAAAGAGCATCAGGTTATGAAACCACCTTTCTTTGTTTTTCGACCAGCCGAGACATGACCCCGGGACGTTTGGAATGTGCATATTGCCACACCACATACACGTCTGAAGCTGCCCTTCGTTTGCACTACCAGAGAGCCAGCTGTCCCATCTTGTTGATTGGGGTCAAGGATCAACACTTTGGTCCAACGGTGCCGACGCCTGCTTCGACTGAGGCCCAAGAGCCTTCGGACCCAGCGCAATTGAGTTCGACCTGCTGTCCAACCTCAGGGAGGCCTGTCCTGGTCGTGCATGCCAGATGACACACCTGAATACACCAGTGATCTGTCTTGGCCATTGTTGACCACAGCATCCATGACCTATGTCTCTGTCCTGTGTTGCCACGTTCCATTTTGGCCAGAGTTTCGACTGAGATGGTTTCATGCATTTGTCCATTGGATGGCTCACTTAACCGACCTTCCGCAGCTTGACCTTGAGGTCTCACTGCATCACCGGCTTCTGGAATTTTGCACGCTGGTGATTCCATGCCATTGGGCTTGGGACTCAGAAGATCAGGAACTCCTGCAATACAGTGCCATTGCTTTCCATTCGACAGCCTGGATTCAGCACATTCATTTTCAAAGCCTGTTGTTTGAACTAGAACACGTGCTGGCCCAAGACTGGTTCCATCGGTGTCTTGCACTTGGCCTCCAAGATGGAACGTATGAACGGAGACGATCAGTTTTTTGCAGAGCTGATGGATCTTTTGTGGCAATCACTTTGCAAAA